TTAACAAAAAAGCAGAGAGAAAGCATCCAAATTAACAAAATCAGAAGCAAAAGGGGGACCTAACAATAGACAATGAGGAAATCCAGAGAATCATCAGGACATACTTCGAAAAACTGTACTCCGCAAAATTGGAAAATCTGAAAGAAATGAATGGTTTTCTGGATAGCTACCCCATACCTATGTTAAATCAGGACCAGATAAACTATTTAAATAGACCAATAACCCCTAAGGAAATAGAATCAGTCATTAAAAGTCTCTCAACCAAAAAAAAGCCCAGGACCAGAGGGTCTCAGCACAGAATTCTACGAGATTTTCAAAGAAGAGCTAATAACAACACTCTTCAAATTGTTCCACACTATATATAGAAACAGAAGGAACATTACCAAACTCTTTCATGAGGCAATATTTACCCTGACAAAAGCACACAAAGATGCAACAAACAAATAGAACTACAGACCAATATTCCTCAGGGATTACAAGAAGAAGCTCTCTCAGAGGTGACCCGAGGATGCTCCCTGCCCTGGAATTGCTGGCAATCACTCTGGACCAGACCTGATCTCTCCTTTAGCCAGAAAGGGAGCCCGCCAGGCCAACATCCCGCCAACCCGCTGCCGCCCACCTGGTTGGAGAGCCCAGACTTTGCAGAGCCTGCTCCTGGGATCTCTGCTCCTGCTCAAGCACCCAGCCACCCTCACCAGAGGAGATCCTGGGCAGGCTTCCCTACCTGCAGGCAGAGCCTGCAGCCCGAAGGGCGGCCTCCTCCGAAATGAGCAGCCACCAGGAGGCCTCTGCCCACCGCCCGCCAGGGAGGGCTCCCTGCCTTTGGCCGCCACAGGCCAGCAACAAGACCCAGCCTAAGAAGAGACGTGCCCCGCTCATGGCCAAGACCCTCAGGGATTACAAGAAGAAGCTCTCTGGGAGGTGACCCGAGGATGCTCTCTGCCCTGGAATTGCTGGCCATCAATCTGGACCAGACCTGCTCTCTCCTTTGGCCGGAAAGGGCGCCCGCCAGCCCGCCGACCCGCCAGCCCGCCAGCCCGCCAACACGCCCACCCGCTGCCGCCCGCCCGCTTGGAGAGCCCAGACTTTGCAGAGCCTGCTCCTGGGATCTCTGCTCCTGCTCAAGCTCCTGGCCGCCCTCTCCCGAGGAGACCCTGGGCAGGCTTCCCTGCCTGCTCCCCAGACCCACTGGCGGCGCTTTCTGCCCACCTGGGAGCGCCTAGATCGCCACCCTCAGGAAGACCAGGCTTCCCAGAGCAAACACTCCACTTTAGACTTTCCCTCCACCCAACCCCTTCCCAAGAACTCGAGTGCCCAACACCTTCTCGTCAAAGGAAACAAACAAATAAATAAATAAATAAATAAATAAACAAACAAATAAAGAGATAGATAGATACATAGATGGATACATAGATATGTGGATACACACATAAATAGATACATAAATAGATAAATAAACAAACAAACAAGGAAGAAAGAAAAAAGAAAGAAACAAACAAACAAAGAAGAGCACCAAGAACCCAGACCTTTGCCTTCCTCTTCCATTGGAACTCGGTGGTTGCAGAGGGACACACTCAACTTCTTGATTCACCCGTGCAGTCAATTTACAAACAGCTAGGGATGGAAGCTGATTCCAGCCCCCTCCTCATCCCCAGTCGGGACTGCACGTTTCCTTCCATCACCTAACTAATCCGTTAAAAAGATAATTGGGCACACATCCCTACAGATCAACATCTAGAGAAATGGATACCTAGACTTCTAGATTCAAAGATACAGAAAGAGCTGATACATAAATAGATCAGGAAAGTTCGGCATGCAGTCCACAAGCACCAAAAGGTAAAATTGAAACAAGAGAAGCTAAAACTGAGTAAAAAGAAAAGGCAATGAAATTGAACACCAAGACCCTAGAAAGAAAGTATGGAGGTGAAACGACGTGTCTGTTTGGCTGTGTGGGTGTGTGAAAAAAGTGGATAAGGGTGGGTTGTGGTGACACACCCATTTAATCTCAGCCCTCAGGGAGGCAGAGGCAGGTGGATCTCTGTAAGTTCCAGACCAGCCTACAGGTCTACAAAACAAGTTCCAGGACAGCCAGGGCTGTTACACAGAGAAACCCTATGTGCCAAAACCAAAAAAAAAAAAAAAAAGGAAGGATGGAAGGAAGGAAGGAAGGATAAAGAATGAAGGAGAGTTTACGAAAAAAAATGGATGAGGTGAGTGGACTAAGAGATCCCAGACATTCTAACTCACTAGAGAAGAACAAGCATTGTGGAACCTCCCCCCACACACCACCCCCACCACCCAGACAGAAAACCAAACTATGGAAAACAAAAAGCAACCACAAAGACACATACACATCACCTCAGGATTGCACCGTCAAAGGAGGCCCTGATTCAAAGTCACAGTGTTGAATCAGACAGAACCTGGAGTGAAAACCAGAGGTGTGGGTGCCAGCTTAGGAAGAAAAGTTTGAGTGTCCCAGAAAGGAAGTGATGGTGAGAGAAGTGTACCAAATTGGGGAGAGGAGCAGAAAAGGATATTGGTGTGTGTGGGTGTTGTGCACGTGCATGTGCTCGTGTGTCTGTGAGTGAAACAGAGAGAGAGAGAGACAGAGACAGAGAGAGAGAGAGAGAGAGACAGAGACAGAGAGAGAGAGAGAGAGAGAGAGGAGAGAGAGAGAGAGGAGAGAGAGAGGAGAGAGAGAGAGAGACGGAGTGGGAGAGAAACATAGAAAGGAAGAGCAAGTGAAAGAGGGAGGAGACGAGACCAAGAGAGAGACAGAGAGAGTAAGAGAGAGAGACAGGGTGGTGGGTGTGTCGGAATGGATTGCATCTTTTTCTGGCACAAGCAGTGTGACTAGTTGGCATCTAGGGGATGCACCCTAGGCTGGCATGAGCCCCTTGTGAGCGCACTGTGCCCAAAGCAGACAGAAGTTCCTACTTAGGGTCCCAAGTCGCAGGGGTCACCTGTAAGGGAGACAGTGGCCTGGAAGCCATCATCAGGGTCTCTGTGCTTGTTTTCTCCCCCCCTCCCCCGCGGTCCCCACCCCCTAGGAGATGAAGATCAGGCCAGAGATTTGGTCTGTGGGTGTGGCTTAGAGACCTGGAAGTCGGAAAGGGCATGCCCAGCAGATGCAAGCCTAGGTGTTTGATTGGGCGGTGGTGAGGGAGCTCGGCCCCACCCACACGCCCTTCAAAGCATAGGGTGGGGTCGGGCAGAGCAGCAGTGAGGCAGAGAGTGCCAGCTGACTCGCAGGCCAGCCCAGTGTCCTCTGCTCCTGAGAGCCAGTTCGCGTCCCCAGGCAGAGGGCTTGTCCAGTCAACCCTGCTTCTTCCGGGGTGCCCCCTCGGGTCTTCATCAGTGGACATGGAAGCCGCCTCCAGCGCAGAAGCCCTGCTGGAGCTGCAGCGGCACCTGTGGCACGGAGACAGAGCCAAGCAAGCTCTACCAGACCCTCCAGAAACTCTCTTCCCTGCCCAAGCTCCGTGACCCCCTGGCAGAGATGAACTTCGAGCAGACCATGAAGCTCTTGAGGAAAGAGCAGCTCCTGGTCCCCTTTGCCAAGGACTTAGCGGCCATTTGGTCAGAGAGGTCCCAGTTGGAGCCCCATCGTGAGCCGGACCGGGAGGACTTTGCCTTCGCGTTGAGCCTGATGACATTGCGGCCCAGAAACTGTCCAGAAGACAAGCCCCGTGAGTCTGCGCCAAGGGAACACACACAAGATGGGACAGAGGTCTTCCACGTTGAGCAGCAGCAGCAGGAGCAGCAGCAGCAGCAGCAGCAGCAGCAGCAGCAGCAGCAAGCAGCAGCCAGCAGCAGCAGAATCAAACACTCAAGTCCTGGCCCGAGCCCGAGCCCGAGCCCGAGCCCGGGACTTGGAGCGAGCCTGAGCCCCACACACAAGGCTCCAGCGAAAGGTGACTAGCAGCCCAAGGCTGGAGCCAAGAGCGAAGCAAGAGGCCAAGAGTGTCCTTAGGGGAGCCACAGCTAGCTGCACAGAACCGGGGGTGCCTGTGGCAAAGCCCCGAGCGAGTAGGAGAGGAGCCCTGGCGGCTCCCAGCGCCCAAGGCCATCTCCAGCGAGTCAGGTGCTGGGGGAAAAGACTCCAGGCCACAGGATGGAGGAAGGGCCCCCAGCTGATCCTTTGGAGGCCTGCCTCAACTCTGACAGCTCTCCTCCTTCCTCTGCTCTGCAGCTGCAGCTGACTGGGTGCAAGAGGAGGGCAAAAAGCACCTGGAAAGCTGAGGAGGCCCCTTAGCCCTGGAGCCAAGGTGCCCCGGGGCGAGTCCCCAAGATCCCAAGATGCCAAGGACACTGACACTGGCGTCCCTCGCTGGGCATCCCCTTGCACAAGAGGCTTCCAGTCTCCAGGCTGGCTTCCCGCTGGGTGGCCCGGAGCACACTGACCAAGACTCCCCGCCTTGGGCGCGCAGGACCCACTTGAAGACGCCAGTCTATTCGGGTCCTGCACCTGCCAGGCTCCTGCAGAACTGGCAGCGAGGGGCGCCTTGCTGAGCCCCTTGACCGCCCCCTGGAAAACTCCGCTGCCAAGACACAGCGCAAGAAAGTGAGCCCCTGGCTGCAAGGGGAGGAGTCCCGTCACCAGACACCCACGGGCAAGCCAACTCATACCAAAGACTGCCAGCGCCACAATCCTCCAGCTGCAGGAGTCTCCTGAGCTGAGGCTGCAAGCCCTGAGAGCCCGCCTCCAAGGCGCGCAAGCCAAGAAGCCTCCAGGCCGCCAAACCAAGATGATGGCCTTCCAGGCTCAAGGCTCAAGACTCTGCCCAGGCCAGCAGGCAGAGCCTGCAGCCCGAGGGGCGGCCTCCTCCGAAATGAGCAGCCGCCAGGAGGCCTCTGCCCACCGCCCGCCAGGGAGGGCTCCCTGCCTTTGGGCCGCCACAGGCCAGCAACAAGACCCAGCCTAAGAAGAGATGTGCCCCGCTCATGGCCAAGACCCTCAGGGATTTACAAGAAGAAGCTCTCTGGGAGGTGACCCGAGGATGCTCTCTGCCCTGGAATTGCTGGCCATCAATCTGGACCAGACCTGCTCTCTCCTTTGGCCGGAAAGGGCGCCCGCCAGCCCGCCGACCCCGCCAGCCCGCCAGCCCGCCAACACGCCCACCCCGCTGCCGCCCCGCCCGCTTGGAGAGCCCAGACTTTGCAGAGCCTGCTCCTGGGATCTCTGCTCCTGTCTCAAGCTCCTGGCCGCCCTCTCCCGAGTGAGACCCTGGGCAGGCTTCCCTGGCCTGCTCCCCAGACCCACCTGGCGGCGCTTTCTGCCCCACCTGGGAGCGCCGTAGATCGCCACCCTCAGGAAGACCAGGCTTCCCAGAGCAAACACTCCACTTTAGACTTTCCCTCCACCCAACCCCTTCCCAAGAACTCGAGTGCCCAACACCTTCTCGTCAAAGGAAACAAACAAATAAATAAATAAATAAATAAATAAACAAACAAATAAAGAGATAGATAGATACATAGATGGATACATAGATATGTGGATACACACATAAATAGATACATAAATAGATAAATAAACAAACAAACAAGGAAGAAAGAAAAAAGAAAGAAACAAAACAAACAAAGAAGTAGCACCAAGAACCCAGACCTTTGCCTTCCTCTTCCATTGGAACTCGGTGGTTGCAGAGGGACACACTCAACTTCTTGATTCACCCGTGCAGTCAATTTACAAACAGCTAGGGATGGAAGCTGATTCCAGCCCCTCCTCAATCCCCAGTCGGGACTGCAACGTTTCCTTCCATCACCTAACTAATCCGTTAAAAAGATAATTGGGCACACATCCCTACAGATCAACATCTAGAGAAATGGATACCTAGACTTCTAGATTCAAAGATACAGAAAGAGCTGATACATAAATAGATCAGGAAAGTTCGGCATGCAGTCCACAAGACACCAAAAGGTAAAATTGAAACAAGAGAAGCTAAAACTGAGTAAAAAGAAAAGGCAATGAAATTGAACACCAAGACCCTAGAAAGAAAGTATGGAGGTGAAACGACGTGTCTGTTTGGCTGTGTGGGTGTGTGAAAAAAGTGGATAAGGGTGGGTTGTGGTGACACACCCATTTAATCTCAGCCCTCAGGGAGGCAGAGGCAGGTGGATCTCTGTAAGTTCCAGACCAGCCTACAGGTCTACAAAACAAGTTCCAGGACAGCCAGGGCTGTTACACAGAGAAACCCTATGTGCCAAAACCAAAAAAAAAAAAAAAGGAAGGATGGAAGGAAGGAAGGAAGGATAAAGAATGAAGGAGAGTTTACGAAAAAAAAATGGATGAGGTGAGTGGACTAAGAGATCCCAGACATTCTAACTCACTAGAGAAGAACAAGCATTGTGGAACCTCCCCCCACACACCACCACCCCCACCAACCCAGACAGAAAACCAAACTATGGAAAACAAAAAGCAACCACAAAGACACATACACATCACCTCAGGATTGCACCGTCAAAGGGAGGCCCTGATTCAAAGTCACAGTGTTGAATCAGACAGAACCTGGAGTGAAAACCAGAGGTGTGGGTGCCAGCTTAGGAAGAAAAGTTTGAGTGTCCCAGGAAAGGAAGTGATGGTGAGAGAAGTGATACCAAATTGGGGAGAGGAGCAGAAAAGGATATTGGTGTGTGTGGGTGTGTGCACGTGCATGTGCTCGTGTGTCTGTGAGTGAAACAGAGAGAGAGAGAGACAGAGAGAGAGAGAGAGAGAGAGAGAGAGGACAGAGAGAGAGAGAGAGAGAGAGAGAGAGAGAGAGATGAGAGAGAGAGAGAGAGAGAGAGAGACGGAGTGGGGAGAGAAACATAGAAAGGAAGAGCAAGTGAAAAGAGGGAGCGAGACCAAGAGAGAGACAGAGAGAGTAAGAGAGAGAGACAGGGTGGTGGGTGTGGTCGGAATGGATTGCATCTTTTTCTGGCACAAGCAGTGTGACTAGTTGGCATCTAGGGGATGCACCCTAGGCTGGCATGAGCCCCTTGTGAGCGCACTGTGCCCAAAGCAGACAGAAGTTCCTACTTAGGGTCCCAAGTCGCAGGGGTCACCTGTAAGGGGAGACAGTGGCCTGGAAGCCATCATCAGGTCTCTGTGCTTGTTTTCCTCCCCCTCCCCCGCGGTCCCCACCCCCTAGGAGATGAAGATCAGGCCAGAGATTTGGTCTGTGGGTGTGGCTTAGAGACCTGGAAGTCGGAAAGGGGCATGCCCAGCAGATGCAGCCTAGGTGTTTGATTGGGCGGTGGTGAGGGAGCTCGGCCCACCCACCGCCTTCAAAGCATAGGGTTGGGGTCGGGCAGAGCAGCAGTGAGGCAGAGAGTGCCAGCTGACTCGCAGGCCAGCCCAGTGTCCTCTGCTCCTGAGAGCCAGTCGCGTCCCCAGGCAGAGGGCTTGTCCAGTCAACCCTGCTTCTTCCGGGGTGCCCCCTCGGGTCTTCATCAGTGGACATGGAAGCCGCCTCCAGCGCAGAGAGCCCTGCTGGAGCTGCAGCGGCACCTGTGCACGGAGACAGAGCCAAGCAAGCTCTACCAGACCCTCCAGAAACTCTCTTCCCTGCCCAAGCTCCGTGACCCCCTGGCAGAGATGAACTTCGAGCAGACCATGAAGCTCTTGAGGAAAGAGCAGCTCCTGGTCCCCTTTGCCAAGGACTTAGCGGCCATTTGGTCAGAGAGGGTCCCAGTTGGAGCCCCATCGTGAGCCGGACCGGGAGGACTTTGCCTTCGCGTTGAGCCTGATGACATTGCGGCCCAGAAACTGTCCAGAAGACAAGCCCCGTGAGTCTGCGCCAAGGGAACACACACAAGATGGGGACAGAGGTCTTCCACGTGAGCAGCAGCAGCAGGAGCAGCAGCAAGCAGCAGCAAGCAGCAGCAGCAGCAGCAGCAGCAGCAGCAGCAGCAGAATCAAAACACTCAAGTCCTGGCCCGAGCCCGAGCCCGAGCCCGAGCCCGGGACTTGGAGCGAGCCTGAGCCCACACACAAGGCTCCAGCGAAAGGTGACTAGCAGCCCAAGGCTGGAGCCAAGAGGAAGCAAGAGGCCAAGAGTGTCCTTAGGGGAGCCACAGCTAGCTGCACAGAACCGGGTGCCTGTGGCAAAGCCCCGAGCGAGTAGAGAGGAGCCCTGGCGGCTCCCAGCGCCCAAGGCCATCTCCAGCGAGTCAGGTGCTGGGGGAAAGACTCCAGGCCACAGGATGGAGGAAGGGGCCCCAGCTGATCCTTTGGAGGCCTGCCTCAACTCTGACAGCTCTCCTCCTTCCTCTGCTCTGCAGCTGCAGCTGACTGGGTGCAAGAGGAGGGCAAAAAGCACCTGGAAAGCTGAGGAGGCCCTTAGCCCTGGAGCCAAGGTGCCCCGGGGCGAGTCCCCAAGATCCCAAGATCCCAAGGACACTGACACTGGCGTCCTTGCTGGGCATCCCCTTGCACAAGAGGCTTCCAGTCTCCAAGCTGGCTTCCCGCTGGGTGGCCCGGAGCACACTGACCAAGACTCCCCGCCTTGGGCGCGCAGGACCCACTTGAAGACGCCAGTCTATTCGGGTCCTGCACCTGCCAGGCTCCTGCAGAACTCGCAGGGAGGGCGCCTTGCTGAGCCCCTTGACCGCCCCTGGAAAACTCGCTGCCAAGACACAGCGCAAGAAAGTGAGCCCTGGTTGCAAGGGGAGGAGTCCCGTCACCAGACACACACGGGCAAGCCAAGTCACACCAAGACTCCCAGCGCCACAATCCTCCAGCTGCAGGAGTCACCTGAGCTGAGGCTGCAAGCCCTGAGAGCCCGCCTCCAAGGCGCGCAAGCCAAGAAGCCTCCAGGCCGCCAAACCAAGATGATGGCCTTCCAGGCTCAAGGCTCAAGACTCTGCCCAGGCCAGCAGGCAGAGCCTGCAGCCCGAGGGGCGGCCTCCTCCGAAATGAGCAGCCGCCAGGAGGCCTCTGCCCACCGCCCGCCAGGGAGGGCTCCCTGCCTTTGGCCGCCACAGGCCAGCAACAAGACCCAGCCTAAGAAGAGACGTGCCCCGCTCATGGCCAAGACCCTCAGGGATTACAAGAAGAAGCTCTCTGGGAGGTGACCTGAGGATGCTCTCTGCCCTTGGAATTGCTGGCCATCAATCTGGACCAGACCTGCTCTCTCCTTTGGCCGGAAAGGGCGCCCGCCAGTCCGCTAGCCCGCCAGCCCGCCCACCCGCTGCCGCCCGCCCGCTTGGAGAGCCCAGACTTTGCAGAGCCTGCTCCTGGGATCTCTGCTCCTGCTCAAGCTCCTGGCCGCCCTCTCCCGAGGAGACCCTGGGCAGGCTTCCCTGCCTGCTCCCAAGACCCACAGGCGGCGCTTTCTGCCCACCTGGGAGCGCCTAGATCGCCACCCTCAGGAAGACCAGGCCTCCCAGAGCAAACACTCCACTTTAGACTTTCCCTCCACCCAACCTCTTCCCAAGAACTCGAGTGCCCAACACCTTCGCGTCAAAGGAAATAAATAAATAAATAAATAAATAAACAAACAAATAAAGAGATAGATAGATACATACATAGATACATAGATGGATACATAGATATATGGATACATACATAGATAGATACATAAATAGATAAATAAACAAACAAATAAGGAAGAAGAAAAAGAAAGAAACAAACAAACAAAGAAGAGCACCAAGAACCCAGACCTTTGCCTTCCTCTTCCATTGGAAACTCAGTGGTTGCAGAGGGACACACTCAACTTCTTGATTCACCAGTGCAGTCAATTTACAAACAGCTATGGATTGAAGCTGATTCCAGCCCCTCCTCATCCCCAGTCGGGACTGCACGTTTCCTTCCATCACCTAACTAATCCGTTACAAAGATAATTGGGCACACATCCCTACAGATCAACATATAGAGAAATGGATACCTAGACTTCTAGATTCAAAGATACAGAAAGAGCTGATACATAAATAGATCAGGAAAGTTCCGCATGCAGTCCACAAGCAACAAAAGGTAAAATTGAAACAAGAGAAGCTAAAACTGAGTAAAAAGAAAAGGCAATGGAATTGAACACCAAGACCCTAGAAAGAAAGTATGTAGGTGAAACGACGTGTCTGTTTGGCTGTGTGGGTGTGTCAAAAAAGTGGATAAGGGTGGGTTGTGGTGACACACCCATTTAATCTCAGCCCTCAGGGAGGCAGAGGCAGGTGGATCTCTGTAAGTTCCAGACCAGCCTACAGGTCTACAAAACAAGTTCCAGGACAGCCAGGGCTGTTACACAGAGAAACCCTATGTGCCAAAACCAAAAAAAAAAAAAAAAAAAGGAAGGATGGAAGGAAGGATAAAGAACGAAGGACAGTTTACGAAAAAAAAAAATGGATGAGGTGAGTGGACTAAGAGATCCCAGACATTCTAACTCACTAGAGAAGAACAAGCATTGTGGAACCTCCCCCCACACACCACCCCCACCACCCAGACAGAAAACCAAACTATGGAAAACAAAAAGCAACCAAAAAGACACATACACATCACCTCAGGATTGCACCGTCAAAGGAGGCCCTGATTCAAAGTCACAGTGTTGAATCAGACAGAACCTGGAGTGAAAACCAGAGGTGTGGGTGCCAGCTTAGGAAGAAAAGTTTGAGTGTCCCAGAAAGGAAGTGATGGTGAGAGAAGTGTACCAAATTGGGGAGAGGAGCAGAAAAGGATATTGGTGTGTGTGGGTGTGTGCACGTGCATGTGCTCGTGTGTCTGTGAGTGAAACAGAGAGAGAGAGACGGAGTGGGAGAGAAACATAGAAAGGAAGAGCAAGTGAAAGAGGGAGCGAGACCAAGAGAGAGACAGAGAGAGTAAGAGAGAGAGACAGGGTGGTGGGTGTGTCGGAATGGATTGCATCTTTTTCTGGCACAAGCAGTGTGACTAGTTGGCATCTAGGGGATGCACACTAGGCTGGCATGAGCCGCTTGGGAGCGCACTGTGCCCAAAGCAGACAGAAGTTCCTACTTAGGGTCCCAAGTCGCAGGGGTCACCTGTAAGGGAGACAGTGGCCTGGAAGCCATCAGGTCTCTGTGCTTGTTTTCTCCCCCTCCCCGCGGTGCCCACCCCCTAGGAGATGAAGATCAGGCCAGAGATTTGGTCTGTGGGTGTGGCTTAGAGACCTGTAAGTCGGAAAGGGGCGTGCCCAGCAGATGCAGCCTAGGTGTTTGATTGGGCGGTGGTGAGGGAGCTCGGCCCACCCACCGCCTTCAAAGCAAAGGGTGGGGTCGGGCAGAGCAGCAGTGAGGCAGAGAGTGCCAGCTGACTTGCAGGCCAGCCCAGTGTCCTCTGCTCCTGAGAGCCAGGCAGAGGGCTTGTCCAGTCAACCCTGCGGCTTCCGGGGTGCCCCCTCGGGTCTTCATCAGTGGACATGGAAGCCGCCTCCAGCGCAGAAGCCCTGCTGGAGCTGCAGCGGCACCTGTGCACGGAGACAGAGCCAAGCAAGCTCTACCAGACCCTCCAGAAACTCTCTTCCCTGCCCAAGCTCCGTGACACCCTGGCAGAGATGAACTTCGAGCAGACCCTGAAGCTCTTGAGGAAAGAGCAGCTCCTGGTCCCCTTTGCCAAGGACTTAGCGGCCATTTGGTCAGAGAGGTCCCAGTTGGAGCCCCATCCTGAGCCGGACCGGGAGGACTTTGCCTTCGCCTTGAGCCTGATGACATTGCGGCCCAGAAACTGTCCAGAAGACAAGCCCCGTGAGTCTGCGCCAAGGGAACAGACACAAGATGGGACAGAGGTCTTCCACGTGAGCAGCAGCAGCAGGAGCAGCAGCAGCAGCAGCAGCAGCAGCAGCAGCAGCAGCAGCAGAATCAAACACTCAAGTCCTGGCCGGAGCCCGAGCCCGAGCCCGAGCCCGAGCCCGAGCCCGGGACTTGGAGCGAGCCTGAGCCCACACACAAGGCTCCAGCGAAAGGTGACTAGCAGCCCAAGGCTGGAGCCAAGAGGAAGCAAGAGGCCAAGAGTGTCCTTAGGGGAGCCACAGCTAGCTGCACAGAACCGGGTGCCTGTGGCAAAGCCCCGAGCCAGTAGAGAGGAGCCCTGGCGGCTCCCAGCGCCCAAGGCCATCTCCAGCGAGTCAGGTGCTGGGGGAAAGACTCCAGGCCACAGGATGGAGGAAGGGCCCCCAGCTGATCCTTTGGAGGCCTGCCTCAACTCTGACAGCTCTCCTCCTTCCTCTGCTCTGCAGCTGCAGCTGACTGGGTGCAAGAGGAGGGCAAAAAGCACCTGGAAAGCTGAGGAGGCCCTTAGCCCTGGAGCCAAGGTGCCCCGGGGCGAGTCCCCAAGATCCCAAGATCCCAAGGACACTGACACTGGCGTCCTTGCTGGGCATCCCCTTGCACAAGAGGCTTCCAGTCTCCAAGCTGGCTTCCCGCTGGGTGGCCCGGAGCACACTGACCAAGACTCCCCGCCTTGGGCGCGCAGGACCCACTTGAAGACGCCAGTCTATTCGGGTCCTGCACCTGCCAGGCTCCTGCAGAACTCGCAGGGAGGGCGCCTTGCTGAGCCCCTTGACCGCCCCTGGAAAACTCGCTGCCAAGACACAGCGCAAGAAAGTGAGCCCTGGTTGCAAGGGGAGGAGTCCCGTCACCAGACACACACGGGCAAGCCAAGTCACACCAAGACTCCCAGCGCCACAATCCTCCAGCTGCAGGAGTCACCTGAGCTGAGGCTGCAAGCCCTGAGAGCCCGCCTCCAAGGCGCGCAAGCCAAGAAGCCTCCAGGCCGCCAAACCAAGATGATGGCCTTCCAGGCTCAAGGCTCAAGACTCTGCCCAGGCCAGCAGGCAGAGCCTGCAGCCCGAGGGGCGGCCTCCTCCGAAATGAGCAGCCGCCAGGAGGCCTCTGCCCACCGCCCGCCAGGGAGGGCTCCCTGCCTTTGGCCGCCACAGGCCAGCAACAAGACCCAGCCTAAGAAGAGACGTGCCCCGCTCATGGCCAAGACCCTCAGGGATTACAAGAAGAAGCTCTCTGGGAGGTGACCCGAGGATGCTCTCTGCCCTTGGAATTGCTGGCCATCAATCTGGACCAGACCTGCTCTCTCCTTTGGCCGGAAAGGGCGCCCGCCAGTCCGCTAGCCCGCCAGCCCGCCCACCCGCTGCCGCCCGCCCGCTTGGAGAGCCCAGACTTTGCAGAGCCTGCTCCTGGGATCTCTGCTCCTGCTCAAGCTCCTGGCCGCCCTCTCCCGAGGAGACCCTGGGCAGGCTTCCCTGCCTGCTCCCAAGACCCACAGGCGGCGCTTTCTGCCCACCTGGGAGCGCCTAGATCGCCACCCTCAGGAAGACCAGGCCTCCCAGAGCAAACACTCCACTTTAGACTTTCCCTCCACCCAACCTCTTCCCAAGAACTCGAGCGCCCAACACCTTCGCGTCAAAGGAAATAAATAAATAAATAAATAAATAAATAAATAAATAAATAAATAAATAAACAAACAAATAAAGAGATAGATAGATACATACATAGATACATAGATGGATACATAGATATATGGATACATACATAGATAGATACATAAATAGATAAATAAACAAACAAGGAAGAAAGAAAAAAGAAAGAAACAAACAAACAAAGAAGAGCACCAAGAACCCAGACCTTTGCCTTCCTCTTCCATTGGAACTCAGTGGTTGCAGAGGGACACACTCAACTTCTTGATTCACCAGTGCAGTCAATTTACAAACAGCTATGGATTGAAGCTGATTCCAGCCCCTCCTCATCCCCAGTCGGGACTGCACGTTTCCTTCCATCACCTAACTAATCCGTTACAAAGATAATTGGGCACACATCCCTACAGATCAACATATAGAGAAATGGATACCTAGACTTCTAGATTCAAAGATACAGAAAGAGCTGATACATAAATAGATCAGGAAAGTTCCGCATGCAGTCCACAAGCAACAAAAGGTAAAATTGAAACAAGAGAAGCTAAAACTGAGTAAAAAGAAAAGGCAATGGAATTGAACACCAAGACCCTAGAAAGAAAGTATGTAGGTGAAACGACGTGTCTGTTTGGCTGTGTGGGTGTGTCAAAAAAGTGGATAAGGGTGGGTTGTGGTGACACACCCATTTAATCTCAGCCCTCAGGG